TCAGGCTGAAGAATTTGTTGTTAACAGACTTCCGAAAAGTTCAATTTTCTGTGTTCTGGCTGTGTTTTCTGTTGCTAATATTTAGTCGTCTCTAAACTTGGTTGTGTGAGAAGGCACAGCGTCTCCACCTATTCCTCCATCTTGGCGGAAGTCCGGATAAACTCTTTTTTCAAAGGTAGTTGTCTCTGTACCTGTTGTCTCTTTACCTTACCCGATTAAAAGAAAATCACAGGTACATTTTAAGACACTTACCTTCTGGCCAGCCACATTGTTTAGAAAAGTGTTTCTCAAACTATCTGTGGTGAAGGACCAGTTTCTATTTTCCCTAAGTTTTCATGAACTGATAGATACTATTGTAAAATAAAATAACAACGAATTTCTAGAAAAATGACCACATTCTTGGATGTTGTGGCCATCTGCTTGTAAGAGTTTCGAAATGCTTCTCCCCACCTTTCTATTTGTCTCGTTGCAAACCAGTAGCAGGTCTCTCACTCAGCACTCTTCTGTGGAACCAGACTAGGAGAACTGGTTCAGAGGAGTGGATCAGTGAGGGTGTCCAAATATAAATGTAAGAAGAGGGTTCCAGCTGGAGTGACTCAGTTGCTTGGGCATTGTTCCACAAAGTGAAAGGTCAATGGTTCAATTCCATGTCAGGGCACGTGCCTGGGTTGCAGGTTCTGTCCCCAGTTGTGGCATGTATTACCAATTGACGTTTCTCTCTCACATCAGTGTTTCCTTCCCTCTCCTTCTCCCTCCCTTCCCTTCTCTCTAAAATAAAAAAATTTTAAATAATAATAATTTTTTTAATAAAATAAATGTGGAATAAATGTGGAAAAGAAGAGGAATAGCAAGCAGTAAGTTGGATGAGGCCTTGATCCCTCTACTAATCCAACAATACAGAGGAAGGAAGTGTCAGAACGGGCCGTGCATGTGTCCGTTCACACAGTGAACTGTGTTAACACACAGTGACACTGTCCACTCATGAATGAGACTTTGTGAACGTACATTCTGGAATCTGACCAATGCAGCTTCCCTTCTCTGGTTCAGGGTTGGGGCAAAGGAGCAAAACAAATCAGAGTGATTAGCAAAATTGTAAGAAATGTTGCATGTGGTGTGTATTTAACAGTAACGTTTATTATCAAATAATCTATGGTTTAGTTTTCTTGATGTGGCCTCCAGTGATCAAATTCATTTATCATCTCAGGGATTTGTGAGTTGCTTTGAGCCATGGCAGGAAAAGACTACATAACGAGGGAAATACAAATGAGAGTAGAGTATGATGGAACTAGAAATATCCAAAGAAAATGTACCCATCGGGCCTCAGGGGCTTCATTATAGAAAGAGATCGGAACTGGCAGCATTTTGAGTCTAGAACTAGAAATGGAGTTATATATTACAGAGGAGCCCTACAGCCCCTCCAGGATTATCATCAAAAGTATTATTTTATATATTTTTTCATTGTTTTTCAAGTACATTTGTCTTCATTTTCCTGCCACCACTTCCCCCTTTAGCTTTGCCCATGGGTCCTTCATACATGTTGCTTGACAACCCTTTCTCTTCTTTTGCCCTGTCATCTCCCTCCCCCCTCTCCTCTGGTTACTCTCAGATTGTTCTTAATTTCAGTGTCTCTGGTTGTATTTTGCTTGCTTGTTTGTTTTGTTGAATAGGTTCTACTTATAGGTGAGATCATATGGTATTTGTCTTTCACCCCCTGACTTACTTCACTTACCAGACTGTTTTGATTACTGTAGCCTTGGTAATATAGTTTGATGTCAGGTATGGTGATCCACCCACTTTGTTCTTCGTTCTTAACATTGCTGCGGTTATTTGGGGTCATTTATGGTTCCACATAAATTTTTGAAATGTTTGTTCTATCTCTGTGAAATAAGTCATTGGTATTTTAATAGGGATTGCATTGAATCTATATTGTTTTGGGTAGTATGAACATTTTGATGATCTTAATTCTTCCAATCTATAAACACAGTATATGCTTCCAATAGCATGATGCTCTCTAGTTCCATCCATGCTGTGGCGAAGGGTAGGAGCTCCTTCTTCCTTTTTGCTGCATAGAATTCCGTTGTGTAGATATACCACCGTTTTTTGATCCACTCACTTACTGATGGGCAGGCAGCTAGGTTGCTTCCAGCACTTGGCTATTGTAAATTATGCTGCTATGAGCATTGGGGTACATAGGTTCTTTTGAATTAGTGTTTCGGGGTTAGGGTATAATCCAAGCACTGGAATTGCTAGATCAAAAGGCAGTTCCATTTTTAGTTTTTTGAGGAAATCCCATAATGTTTTTCATAGTGGCTGTACCAGTCTGCAATCCCACCAACAGTGCACTAGGGTTCCCTTTTCTCCACAACCTCTCCAGCACTTAATTGTTTGTTGATTTGTTCCTCATTGTGGTTTTCATTTGCATCTCTCTGATGGCTAGTGATGCTGAGCATCCTTTCATGTCTCTGGGCCCTCTGTATGTCTTCCTTGGAGAAGTATCTGTTCAGGTCCTTTGCCCATTTGTTAATTAGATTGTTTGTCTTCCTGGAGTGGAGTTGTGTGAGTTCTTTAAATATTTTGGAGATCAAACCCTTGTCTGAGATATCATTGGCAAATATATTTTCCCATACGGTTGGTTCTCTTTTCATTTTGCTGATTTTTTTTTTTTTGCTGATTTTTTCTTTTTAATTTGATGAAGTCCCACTTGTTTATTCTTTCCTTTATGTCCCTTGTTCTTGGGTACATACTGGTGAAAATATTGCTGTGTGAAATATCTGAGATTTTCCTGCCTATGTTCTTTTCTAGGACTATTATGGTATCACGACTTATATGTAAGTCTTTTATCCATCTTGAGTTTATTTTTGTGTATGGTTTAAGTTGGTGGTCAGGTTTTCATTTTTTTGCATGTAACTATATTCAGAAAACTACACAACACTGAAGAAAAAATTAAGGAAGACACAAATAAATGGAAGCATATACCGTGTTCATGGATTGGAAGAATTAACATCATCAAAATGTTCATACTACCCAAAACAATTTATAGATTCAATGCAATCCCTATTAAAATACCAATGACTTATTTCACAGAGATAGAACAAACATTTCAAAAATTTATGTGGAACCATAAATGACCCCAAATAGCTGCAGCAATTATAGGAAGGAAGAACAAAGTGGGTGGATCACCATACCTGACATCAAACTATATTACCAAGGCTACAGTAGTCGAAACAGTCTGGTATGGCATAAGAGCAGACACATAGATCAAAAGTTTATTTTAAAAGGTTTGTTTAACACTTCTATGCACTGTATTGGAGTCCCAGCCCTCAAAGAACTTTCAAAGTGGAATCATTTACAAGAAGGCGAAGATCTAATGTCTAAGGCAAAAATCTCATGTAGTTAAAAATTATTTTGAACATTTCTTCAGAGTCATAATTGGGCAAAAGCAAATATCTCAGGGAAGCAAGAAGGGTTGTCCAAAGTCAGTTGTTTGTCAAGTTTCTTTCTCCTAAAGCAGGGTGCAATTCCTTGGGACACTCGAAGGCTTCCCAAGCACAGATAGCTTTAAGAAACCTGATTCCTAGATGTTGAACTTACTTATTCCTATGCCCAAGATTAGCACTGGGGCCCAAAATCACACCAGTTCTTTTCTACTTTCCTCTTCACGGTTGGCTCCTCCCACTTTACCAAAGGAAGGCACGTACCTCTCTCATCCCAATGCTTATATAGTGCATTACCCTAAGGAATAAAAATCTTTGGGGTCAGTTGGAAATTGGACAATTGGGAATATTAATGTCTGCAAAGTTTCCTTTAATATAGGTAACGTAAATCCATTGTAAGACTTTCTGACTTTACCTCTTACACTCTTCTGTTAAGTGTGAAATGAAGTTATAGTCAAGGATGTTGAGATGCTTTAAGTTCAGGAGCTAGATGGTTATCACTGGGATACAAATTAATACATTTATAACCATGAGAAATGAGGTCATTTCTTTTTTTCTAATTCTACATTTTTTATTTTGTTAAGCTTTTATTTGTTTATTTTTAGACAGAGGAAAGGGGAGGGAGAAAGAGAGGGAGAGAAACATCAGTGTATGGTTGCCTCTTGCATGCCCCAAACACTGGGGACTTGGCCCACAACACAGGCATGTGCCCTGACTGGGAATTGAACTGGCGACCCTTTGGTTCACAGGCTGGCGCTCAATCCACTGAACTACACCAGCCAGGGCTATATTTGTATATCTTGGTCAATTGTGTTAATGAGAATAATAAAAACTCAATTCAGCAGAGTTTTTTTTTTAAACTGCTTAGATACTCATCACAGGAAAATTTAAATTTTTAAAAGTACAGTTTATGTTTTTTTGCAGAAAACTATTCAGAGGTAATGAATAAAATACACTGAAGTATAAAATATACATTAGCATAAAGTTCTCGAGGGAATGTGTACTGGCAGTATGAGTTGAAGGAGAAAGAAAGGAAAAATTTCTAAATACTAAAGAAGAGATTTATTTAAATACGTCAGTGCTGAGAATTATATAATTTACAAACATTTAAACTTTTGGTGAAAAACGTTATGTTGAACAAATGGCAAGTGATATCCACTTTTAAATTCCTTTTTGCCAAGTGTGGCGTAGAGCAAATTAAAGGCACACCGCATGTGAGCCCACAGTGTGAAAAATAGACACACAGATGTGTTTCCCAGGGCTTTGGCTGTATAGAGCATGAGACCACAGCATCGTTTCGGTGCTTGAGTGAACAATAGGTAAGATTTTTGAGTGGTTAACTGGTCAAAAACAGGCATATCTCACGGGTATGGGACCAGGAGAAGAGAGTAATAATGGGTATCGAACAGTAGTAGCAATTCAGCACCCCTAGTGCTGTCTGGAAACACTTGTGCTCTGACAACGAATGCAAGGCTGGGACCAGGCTGGGGAAGAGTGCAGCATTTACTCAGGGTCCGACGAGTCAGCTTCCCGTCTCATAACCTGCCAATCTCTCTTTTTCTGCAGTCACTACTCAGCATTCCAGGCTCCCCGTTCCTATCCCGCCACAACAGCAAGAGCAGCATCTTCAGCTTCAGGGGGCCCGGGCGGTTCCGGGACCCGGGCTCCGAGAACGAGTTTGCGGACGACGAGCACAGCACAGTGGAGGAGAGCGAGGGCCGACGAGACTCGCTGTTCATCCCGATCCGGGCCCGCGAGCGCCGCAGCAGCTACAGCGGCTACAGCGGCTACAGCCAGGGCAGCCGCTCCTCTCGCATCTTCCCCAGCCTGCGGCGCAGTGTGAAGCGCAACAGCACAGTGGACTGCAACGGCGTGGTGTCGCTCATCGGCGGTCCCGGCACACACATCGGCGGGCGTCTCTTGCCAGAGGTGAAAATAGATAAGGCAGCTACCAGTGACAGTGTAAGGAAGTAAACATATAGACCAAGGCTAGGCATGGCAGTCTCCCTGCTCCCTTCCTCTCCCCGTTCCTCTCATTCCCCGTGTTCTCTCCTGTGCTCTGCTTCCCTGGCTCTCCACTGGCTCCAATCTTTCTTACTCCGCCCCAGACCGGTTCTGTTTTCTCCCTCCAGGTTTGTTTCCATTTCTGTCTTCAGTCCTCGCCCCTCCCCCTTTACTCTTTTTTTCCCCTTTTACTTTATTCCTTGCTCCATTTCCCCCCATCTTTCTTTGATTTTGACTATTCCCCTTCCTACAGTATTTTAGGTCCCTCCTTTTATTTTACCTCTTTCTCTTTCCACTTTGGAAATTTCTGCCTGTTCCTGCCTCCCCTCTCCCACCTGCACTGACTGAATGCCTCTGGCCCGCGGATCCTGCCCACGTGGAATGAGAAGCATCGTGTCACACCACCAGTGACCAAGTCTGAGCGGGTTTGGAACTCCCATTGCTTCTCCCGGCCGTGTCCTCTCTCCTGGGGAAACAGCTTGGAATTTAAAGCTCTTATCTTTCTATTTTAGAAAGTAATACAGTTTTGAATAATTTTCCAAGGCTCCTCTGCAAGAATGAGGTGTGATTTTTTTCCAGAGAGGAAAGTGCATACATGATGCTGAGGGTGGGAGGTGGGCACCAGGGAGAGCCAGGCCAGGAGAGGTTAAGGAAAACCCTGCAAAACTGGACCTGGATGTCAAAGGGATTGAAATGGAAATAAATCAGAGGGAGAGATAGGAGGTTAAGATGGGAACACGTGGTGTATGGGGGAGGAAGGAAACGGGGAGAAAAAGATGAATTTTAAATGTAATCAATGCCAGGCTCTAAAGGAGCTGAATATAATAGCTGCAGGAAAATCTCTTGTCTAGGGGTTTGGAGAATGACCTCCCTCTTCAGGAAAACCATCTCCTAACATTTCTTTAAATTCTAAGCTGTTCATACCTTTTTCCTGGTTTTAAATTCTTATAATCTCAATGATCCTAATCCTTCCTACCTCTAATTCCTTAACTTTCCTCAGTTCCTCCTTAGCTGGTGTAAGTTCCTTAAGATAGCATGTCAGTCTGTTGTGTTCTAATACTTCAGGTTCCTCTAACACGGCATGAAGACAGCCAATCCTTTAATTAGCATGATGCATGTGTGGAGGAAAACTGGACAGTTGAGGGTGGAATCAGTCAGAGTCACCTGTTTTTAGCACTTTACAGCAGTTGTTGACTGTATAGATAAAAATTCAAAAGGCAATTAGGATGTATTTAAGGTTATCTTTTCTTTCCCTGCCTTTTCATTTTAAAAAAATATTTTATTTATTTATTTCGAGAGGGGAAGGGAGGAAGAAAGTGAGGGAGAGAAACATCAGTGCGTGGTTGCCTATCACATACCCCCTGCTAGGGACCTGGCCTGCAACCCAGGCATGTGCTCTGACTGGGAATTGAACCGGCCACACTTGGGTTCAAAGGCCGGCATTCAGTCCACTGAGCCACACCAGCCAGGGCCCCTGCCTTTTTATTTAAAAGCAAAATACTTCCCCCCTTACATTTGTATAGCTCTTTACAAACTGCAAATTACTTTTACACATATAATATAATTTTTTTCTGAATAAAAATCCTATAGGGCTGACAAAATGGGCATAGATTATTATTCCTCTTGTTTAGATGGGGAAGCAGGCTCAGAGAATTGGTGCTCCTCGAGGTCACATAACTCATCGCTGATGGAGCCAGAATCTTAGATCTTTCAGAAACCTTAGTCTTCTGTTTTTCAGTTCATGTTAATGTTCTCTCTGCACAGTCACATGGCCCTTGCTCTTTTGGAGACCTGTTTATGGAAGATCAACAATAATAGGGACAATAAGAACAAACTGGTTACACAGTGCCCCCCAAACCAGATAATTGGTCAAAATAAATGTTATAGATGATTATCTTTAAATTTAATTTGTATTTTACTTTTACTAATTCTATGTCTAGAGGTCAGTTTGGGGCTACAACTAGGTAGATAATTATATTCCCTGGGGAAAAAATGGGAAATGATATCAAGAAGAATGAGGGGTGGGTCAGAATGTACAGTACAGTTGGGGCAATTCAAATGCTGAGAGCCAAACTGAATATTAATATCCTATCAGTTTTTTTAAATATTTAAGCTCAGTAATACATCTTGTTTTTCCTTTGAAGAGAAGGTATTAGAAAAGGTGTTCAGGAAGGAGCTTGAGCATCAGCTTACATCACATGAGCAGGTTCGGGGGTTTGTTTTTGGTTTTTTAGCAGCCTTTGTTGTACTGTGTGGGAGAAAAATTTGAGAGGCAGTTGAACAGATGGTTGTGGGGTTGTGGAATGTGAGGCTTTCTGCACCGCCTTATATTGTAAACTGCAGAATGTTTGCCTTTGGAGTTTTTTTGGTGGTTTTTTTTTTTTTTTGAGCCTGCCCACTCAACACCCTGTAAGCATTTAGGAGATTCTTTGCAGTGGTCCCAAGTGTTGGTGGTGACAGATTTCAGGATTCCCAAGGCCAGGAGGTCAGATCCCAAAGCAGCAGGAAGATGGGGTAGGCAGGACTATATCATTCCCCAGGACTTCATGATTAGGAAAAACTATTTTTTAGAAGACATAGACAACTTCCTAGTTGTTAATAGTGTGAGGAAATATCTAATTTATATTAATAAGCCAAATTGAGAAAACAAAAACAGAATGCATGTAGTTTGTATGGTATACCACATCTCCAAGAAGATAAACTGCATGTAGGAAAAAGATGACTGACTGAAGTTAACTGTAGTTGCCTTTGGAGGGGACTTTTGCTGACTTTTTTCTTACACTTCTCTGTTCTTTCTAGTTTTCCACAGTGGGCATAATAATGATAGCTACCATACATTTAGTTCTTAATACACTCTGCTAAGTATTTTATGTGCGTGATCTCATTTAATTCTTATGACCACCCTATTCGGTAGGTGTTTTATCCTATTAACAGATGAGATTCAGAGACTCATCTCTGAGACTTAGTGACTTGAGGAGATGAAACTTGAACCAAGAAAACTTGCCAAAGAAAACTTCCCCATTAAATATTAACTCCCTTTGGGATGTGAGAAAATCAGTCATTTATCTTAGAAGGACATGATATGTTATAATGTTATATACAGTCCAGGCCAGGTGAGGCACTGATGCCCCTTTGAGCTGGGATGTAGTGATCCTTTCTGTGGAAGCATCGGGCGTGTCTGCAACTGCGGACTCACTTGTCTTTGCCCGAACTGTTAGAGCTCTCCAAGTTACACACGCACTCCTGTGGGCAGGCGCAGTGGCCACTGCTGGTTTATAAGCCGGTCTCACGTAGTCTTCATGATTAAGCGGTGCCACATCTGTGTTTTAAGAAATTAAGAAATACAATATTCTCTGTGGAAAAAAGACATCTGGACTTCACTTCATCAGAATCTCATCAAAAAAGTGTCACCTCTTCATTAGCTATTCATTTGTGATTCAGTAGTGATTTTTTGGAGGGGATAGTTTGGGAATTTCTACTTTTGCTCTTTGGTTTAACATAGGATAAGGAGACTTCCCATGTCTTCATCTCTTAGCTGGAAAAGTAGGTGAGAATCATAGCTCTTCACTCACTAAGAAGGCAAATGCTACTGACAACCCCCAAATCACACATAACTCAGAAAGTATGACATATTAGCTTACAGATGTACAAGCATTATCTCATTTAATGCTCACAGTCCCAACCCTGTGACACAGATATTACAGTTGTCTGCATTTTACTGTGGAGGAAGCAAGGCTTAGAAAAGGGTTGGTTTCCCAGTAAGCAATAGAGTTAGGATTTGAATCCAGGTGATCCAACTGCAGAGTATTAACCATTAACTATTATGCTATACTAATTCTAAAGCCCCAGTGCTTTACTTTTTTTTTCTTTTTTAAGATTTTATTTATTTATCTTTGGATGGGAAGGGAAGGAGAGAGGGAGAGAAACATCAATGTATGGTTGCCTTTCGTGCATCCCCTGCTGGGAATTGGCCTGCAGGGAACTGGTCTGCAACCCAGGTATGTGCCCTGACTGGGAATCGAACTGTGATTGTCTGGTTTGCAGGCCCGTGCTCAATCCACTAAACTACAACAGCCAGGGCTTTACTTTTTTTTTCTTATACTCCCCTGAGGACATGCTTAGAGGGCCAGGGAGGGAGTGAGAGAGGGAGAGAAACATCAGTTGGTTGCCTCTTGCATGTGCCCTACTGGGGACCGAACCTGCAACCCAGGCATGTGCCCTGATGGTGTTGGAACCCATGACCTTTAGGTCCATGGGACGATGCTGCAACCAACTGAGCCACACTGGCCAGGGCTTTACTTACACACATGATCCTGGGGAATTAACCTCTCTAATTTCCCATATCTGTAATAAAAAGATAAAAAGACCTTTGTTATAGGACCATTATGAAAATTAAATGTAATAACATATATAAAATGTGAAACATATTACTGGGCCCATTCTAGGTATTCACATTCTTGGTATCTAGTTTCTATTTCTTTTCCTATAATTTTTTGGACTTTCTAGCCCTGAGAAGCAGACAGTGGGATTTCAGCTGGATTACTTGACTTGGAGAGGGTGGGGCTTCTGATATTCTAAGAACCCTTTGAGAAGGAGAAAATATTATACAGTTATTTTAAAGAAAAGCAGTACAAAAATTTGAAAAAGACTTGAACAGAGATAAATGGCTAGATCCCAAGGTCACTTCCAAAATGCTCTAAATTTTAACTTCAAGAAAGGTGACTAGACTGGATGATAGATTCCCATTACGCATTTCCTTGTGAAAGCAATTTACAATCAATAGCAAGTTGAGCTTTAGCTTTCTTGGCAGATCTGTAGAAACCTGGGCAGGATCTGCCATCTGCAGTGGCTGCAGAATGTCTCTTTGAGGACAGCTACAATTTAGGAGGTTGGAAATCAGTGGCTAAATGTTCTAATAAATCTTG